TCTCTGGAGAATGTCAGCCAATGAACGTCTTTTATGAGTGGATTGTATCAGCAACTAGCAACAGCATCCATATTGTTGGTGTCATATCAAGCTTTATCCCATCATCTGGTTTTCTCGTTATCGGCAATTCGGTGGGCGTCCTGAAATGAAGGTCTCTTATCGATTGATCACATCAGCAGCAAGGAACAACTTGTATATCTTTGATATCAGCAACCTTTCTATCTCTTGGTGGTTCTGGTTATCGGCAATTCCTTTGATGGATCTCTACAACAACACGTGTCTTATGGATGGATCATGTCATCAACAAGCAATGAGAGCCCGCGTTGACATCTTTTGTGTTACCAAGTCATTCATGCATGTCGTCAAGGACTCCATCGTCAAGCTGCATTCCATACCCAATGAAAAAGGATTGGTATCTCATTCATATCGGCTATATCACTGAGTGTTCTCCCTTCCGCAGCTAGGATGCTGGTTTGGGCTTTTTGATGGATGATTTTTCGATTTGCATGTGGTCTTGGGCAGCACATTGGTTCGTTCTCGCTCCTTGTAAGGGCTCTTCGGCATCATGTAAGTATGCTATCTTTGGTGGTACAAGTATTACTCAACCTTCTCACTGTATATTCCCATCAAGTATCCTTCCATCGCTTACAAGCCGAGTGCCAACGTAGCGGGTCTTATCAACAAGCGGACGATTGCAAAGAATCGGCTTGATTCGGATATCAGCAGGATTGCGTGCATATGGCTATAATTGGTAAATGATGATCCGTCTTTTCTACGATGCCTGCCAACCTCTTCATTTATTATAGTATGTGGTCTATGCAGCAAGCTGCATGTCTTCTGGTTCTTTGGGATTTTCGTGGATGCAGCTATCATTGGATGTCGACATGTTTTCATGCATACATGGGTAACATTGGTAAATAGTGGTCCATTCTTTTCTACAACGCCTGCCAACCTCTTTCATTTATTGTAGTATGTGGGCTATTCAGCAAGCTACTTGTCTTCTGGTTCTTTGGGTTTTCATGGATGAAGTTATCATTGGATTCCAACACGTTTTCGTGCATATGGCTATCATTGGTAAATAGTGGATGATCCGTGTTTTGGCTCCAATCCCAATCAACCTCTTCGTTTATTATAGTATGTGGTCTATTCAGCAAGCTACCTGTCTTCTGGTGCATTGGGATTGCTATGGATGCAGTTGTCATTGGATACCAACATGTTGACGTGCATATGGCTCTCACTGGTAAATAGTGATCCGTTCTCTTCTTCAACGCCTGCCAACCTCCTCGTTATTATAGTATGTGAGCTATTCAACAAGCTACTTGTCTTCTGGTCCATTGGGATTTCTATGGGTGCAGCTGTCATTGGATGTCATCATGTTTTCGTGCATATGGATATCATTGGTAAATGGTGATCCATTCTTTCTTTCAACGCCTGCCAACCTCCTCTTTTATTATAGTACGTTGGCTATTGAGGAAGCCACCTGTCTTCTGGTCCTTTGAAATTCTCATGGATGAAGCTGTCATTGGTAAATAGTGATCCATTCTTTCTTTCAACGCCTACTAACACCCTCTTTCATGTGGGTTATTCAGCGAGCTACTTGTCTTGTTCCCTTTGGATGCTTGATGGATGAAGCTATCATTGGATGTCGACAGGGTTTTATTCATATGACTTTCATTGGTAAATAGTGGATGATCCGTTTTTTGGCTCCAATCCCAACTAACATCCTTTTTTATTATGGTGTACGGGCTATTCAGCAAGCTACTTGTCTTCTGGTACATTGGGATTTCTATGGATGCAGCTACCATTGCTAAGTATCGTTCTATGGGTTCGGGAAACTATTTACTGTGTATCTTTTATAGGTAAGTCATGTCAGGGTCAAGGCTTGATGTACAGTGTTCATGCATTTATATAAGAGCTGTCCTATTCAATTTCCACTTCTTCCACCCCCCCAAACTTCTTGTCTCTTCCTCCCATTCTCAACTGTTGCCCCACTCAAGTGTACAACTACCACCTGCGAACGATTGTCCTGCTTCAACCCATCATGTCAATCCTACAATTGCCTTGATCCGATTGTCTTGGACTGAATGGCAAGTCCATGGCGTGTACACCCAATACAGCGCATGCCTTTGACGATACTCGCACTCTCTTGCGCACTTCTCTGCCACGATCAAACGTAACAGCAGTTGCCATTAGCAAGATCTTCACTCCATTGTCTCAAATAGCGTTCACCATCTTGTCAGTCTACTACAACACACGCTCTTGTACTCTCCTCTACACGACAAGCGTAACATCAGTTGCTATTGGCAAGGTCACCGTTGTCTCACGTTACTTGCAGCATCCTGCCTTTCAGCCCTTTTGCGTGGACAGCAGATAGCCATGGTATATAAGCAGCTTTATTTCCGCGTAGCAACTTTGCTTTGATACATACAACTTCCAATGGATGATCCCATATCAGCTATCAAGTACCCTGCAATACAAGCAATCTTCGCCTAGTTGAGCATCAATGGAAATGACCAAGAAAGGGGTAGGCCAGCAGCCGGATGGAAAAGGAGGCATATCAACAGTGATCACATGGCTCTTTTCAACCAACATGGTTATGATGGATGGATGGATGCAATCAGGTTCAGTGATGGGAAATCCTGGAATGTTGCTTTGGTTACTTGGCAGCTCGTCAACAGAAAGGATGGATCATGTCACGTTGATACGGTTGAGGATGATGATGGATTGGATGGAGCTGACGAAGGGGCTTCTATCTTTTGACGAAAGGTGTTATACAGCCATGGATGATGATATTGGAATACTCGAGCCAACACCTGCAGCAACTATTTCCCAGTCATGGATGAAGGATGTTTATGACGGCAGCAACGAAGAATACAATGACACGATCATCCCTATTGCCTCTACGTGGTTCGCCCATATCTTTTTCGATTTCCAATCCTGTTCCTTTGTCATATTTGCGTGATAGACACCCACACTACCATGTGCTATTCTTCAACTTTTTCATTGGATGAATTGGATTGAACGTAATGTTGAGGTATCATACTATCAACTGAAATGTGCAAGATGGGGATCACTTGGTTGGCTTCGGGATTGAAAGAGGAGGGGGAGACGCAGATTAGAAAGCGATATTGGATCATTTATATCACCGTATCGAGATGCTTTGGTTCTTTTGCCGCAACATTGTACATTCGCTAAAGCTTCCTACTTCACATGCTGATGGATAAAAGGCAGTGGCAATTCTTGAACGTTTGTCTTGCAAAGATAATAAATTTGAAGACGATGATACATGTTACATAAGCTGCGTTCATTGTAATGTGATGGACAAGTTGTCGTCTATCATCATAATACTCATGATATACGTCACTTTCTTACATCACGTATCTCTTCGATTACATACATCCTCCAATCCAAGTCTATGTAAGTATCGTTGTAGGTATCAATCCTGTGGATTACAATAGCTAATTTTTACAAGATGTGGTCATTCATAATGTGTTTCATTGTGTTTCAGATCTCATTGTCGTGGCCGTTGTTGAGAGATTTAAGGTAAACCTATCATATTGGTGTGCATCTTTGTTGATGTAGCTATTTCCCATGACACATTGTTTGGTAATGGTATTGGCATGGTACATTGGTATGGCGCAAAATAGCAAATAGATCCTTATGCATTCACATCTCATTCATTACGAATTTGCCAAAGGAAGGGTGCATAGATGTCATTTACCAATTTAAGCATACAATATTTACAATAAAGGGTGACTAGACAGGCTGCGTTGACGAGCGAAGGGTATTAAGTGGAGGTGGTAAAGTCCTATCATGAACCAACAAGTCGATACGGTCATCCATGATTGCTTTCAATGGCGGTAGTTTACTTCCCCAACAACGGGAGGAGTGAAGAATCGAAGGGGCTGCATAGTGATGGCTCGTAGGACGGATGTCAGGTGGAGGAGGAGTTGTACCGGCAATGGATGTGGGAGGTGATGGGATGCCTGTGGCATGCTGCTGCTCCTGCTGCTTCTTAAGCAAAGTTGTTTGCCATTTGCCAAAGTATGCATCATTCGTAGCATATGCTGGAAGAAAAGTCCGTTCATGTTTGGATCGTTTATGCAACATGTTTGACTTGCTGCTAGTTGCCGCTGCTGGTGATGCATTACGCTGTTGTTGGCAGTCAATGATTTGAAAACTGCGTTTCCTTGTAGTTGCCGTTTTTGCATTCACACTATTATCGTTCAACAAGAAAAAAAAGCACTTTGAATCAATATGCCTGTATTAAAAGCAAGCAACATGCAACATTCAATTACATACGCTTGACGACGATACTCTTTTCGGATACGCATCTTGATGCCTTGGTTGTAGAGGCAGCGTGATAAGGTGGTTGGCTCTAAAGGACCAGGAAATCGCTTTGGTTCATACGCTGTGAATGTATCGGAGAGCATGCTTTGTCGGTTTTGGACATTATCACTATTTTGGGTCCATTGTGTATCAGTCATGGATCCACGTTTCGCCACACCCTGTCCTTTGCCCTTACCCAGCAATCTCAAAGAGGCTAAAATGTAATCTATATTCTCCTTCTTGCTTGACAGCTAAATCAGTAAAGATGAAAAAGCCGGCATCTGCATCATCCAGGTCCCTGAGACGATAAAGGGAAGAAGCCGTTGTCCCAACGAGGTATTGGTCAATTGGTAGCAGTTGTGTGGTGTCGTTGGCAGAAACAATGTTCACTGCAACGAAGTAAAAAGGGCTTTGAAGGCATTGTCTATATAGGAAAAGGAATGGGTAAAGGTTAAAAATGGAAAGTTTCTCGAGGATTATGTGAATGAGCATTTTTACTTTGTTTGGGATGAAGAACAATTTAGCCATTCGAGCTGGAGAATTGGAGCTGGGTCAATTGAATGCCGATAATCTTGCAAGTAATATATGCAAACACATATGAGACGCCTCTTCAAGCAGTAATGTGTGTATAAATCCGCATACCATGATCGTTGGTGATGCATGCTTTCGATTGTTGCGGTTGTTGTCTCACGGTAAGCTTATATTGTCTACGAGAGCGACACAATCAATATGTATTATCCGATGAGCAGTGTTGATTGCCACAAACCTGTTCTCCGGGAGATCCTTATGAGAACTTGAGATAAACCGATAGGAGCAGCTGTCAGCTGGATTACTGTTGTTTCTACTGCTGCCTGCTGCAAAGTAATGCAAAGACATTATGTTGACATCAATTTGCAAAAGAGAAAGGGTCAAATGAAAAGCACCGAAAGGAGAAAAGAAGGAATCAAGGAAAAGAGGTTAATCCATCACTACCTTTATTGGTGAAAATGGGATAATGGTTAAACCTTGGATCTATGCTTAACCCATCTTTCCAGAAAAGTGGGTCCGATTTTGTACATATTTACCATTATCAGTAGCGATGCATCCATGAGCCTGATGAATCTAATACCACCAACACAGCGTCTTTGGGTATTACACACGTGCATCTCGGCTACAACCGACAAGGGTAGTTTGATCGGAATCAGGTCGCACAGAGATCGTCTTCCTTCCTCATTCTTTCAATTCATCATGTAAATTAGGAAGGTGTGGGGGATACATTTGGCAATGAGTTGATATGGATCGTTGATGGTTGCTACCGAGGGATGTTGTTGGGACGTCCAATGGCGGTGTTGTTGCTGGGTTGCAGGGTAGATATGCACGTAAGCGGTTGATCACTAATTTCGGATTGTTGTGTTACGAGAATGGTTCAATGGTTTGTAAGTCAACAGGAAAAACTTTGCGCAGTGGGAAAGCGGCTAATGACTAGATTTTATACAAGGCTATGATCAATGGTGACACATATCTATTATGATCCTTGATATACAAAAGGGAAAGGAAATGGACAATGGGGTGGGGGTAATGCTATTCATAGACAACTCATTTATCGTCAACGACTATGATATAGAAGAGGATCGACAAAGAAAATAAAAGAGAGTGACACAATTACTTGGATCATGTGTGTGTGTGTGGTTTATGCATCATGTTGACAACAAATGCCTGGGGGTGCAGCGGTGGTGGCGGTGGCTCCCTTCATCAATTCATGCCCGCCAAGTGCTACCGAAAGTGAACGAAAAACAAGTTCAGACGCTTATCTTGTTCTCTCATTCCTCATTTGCATACGTGTCATGTCCTGGTTTCAAAAGCAAGTTCGTCTCTCTCCTCGTCCAAGAGGTAAGTTGCTCTCTATCCACACGTACTCTTCCGCATCGAACTCATGGTGCTTCATTCAGGCTGCCATCTTGTCCATGACGAGATTGTGAGTCAAGTACCAGAGATCAGGCAGTTCAAAGTAGGCATGGCCAACGTCTTTTGTGAGTATCCTTTTCTCACGCTATCATTTCATGTACCACTGACGCGTTTGAATAGTGCAACATACATCGGCCAGCCTTATGCTAAACGAGAATGCGGATCCCACAGTGCAAGCCGACATGTCCATGGGGTTGAACAAGATTGTTCCAGAAGATTGGCCTTATCAGCATGATTACGAAGGCTCTGATGATATGGTATGATGCATGATAAAGAACCTTCGGTTGGGTGAATAGTCATCCTTACAATGTTATCTGTAGCCTGGACATTTGAAGAGCGGCATCGTTGGTGTCTCACTCAATATCCCAATCACAAATGGATCGCTCAATACTGGCACTTGGCAAGGGTAAGTCGCTGATTTGGATGTATATGACGCGTGTATGTGTAATGCTGATGAAAAACACCCAAATAGCATTTACTTGTGCGAGCACAGAAATCATGGTGGATCTCGTCGCTGCGTGGTTACTATTCAAGGAGAGAAGAAATAGAAAAATAGAAGAATGGTTTCCCAAGTCAACAAATACATGATCCAAACTACGATATCCCACAGCGAGGCTGGTCACATTTGGGTAAAGGAGGGAGAGGACGGCATGTTGGAAATGACATGTGATGGCAATCAAACAATGAAAGCGGCCAATAGGGGGAATATCCGGAACGAGCCATTTGTAAGCAGACGCATTTTGGTTTTGCAATGACGTTATTTCATCCCAACGCTGAAACAGCGATCAATCTTCTCGTATTCCTAAGAAAATACAATATGGGCACTTTTACGGATACTTGGAGACTTAAGTTTATTATAGTTGTGTATGTGTATGCTATTAACGGATGAGAGGATACATTTGGTCATGGTGAGAGAGAACAGGTTTGCTTATTGCCGTACTTGGCAAATGTGGGTTGCCGCGGAAGATCCCTGTTTTTCGGCTTCAGGGCCCTCGGGTACGGAAAGTGGTGAGTGCGTAGGCTATATTTGCTCATCAAGCTAAAATTACCCAACACCTCCTCTCCTTGCATCATTATGCTGTTGCTGCTAAATATTGACTTTCATTATGACTTGGATCATTTCTTCGCATATACTCATCCGAGGTATATTAATACAATCAATGTTGATTCCCATACGGCATAAAACAATGATGCTTCATGAATAAAAATAGTGCTATCATTGAATACAATGGATGAATGGAAGCCATAAACCCATGTATAGTGTGTACTCGTTCCTTTTTTCGATAAAAGTGCTCAAATCAAAGCATGTGGTGATCGAAAGTTGGAGCTGACTTTTGGTTAGGCACATGTCGTTCATGCTCACCATCGGGGGAAGTTCCGCGGAAAGAGCCTAGGCTTGCCTGAGGCGGGTGTAAAGCATGTAGGTGTATCCACACAGTCGGCGGTTGTAGAGGAATGTGCTGCACTATACACAAAGACAGCTGTATGAAACGATGGTGCTCCGATGAAAAGGTAGAATGATGATGTCAGGTATAGAGTACCGCTATCACACATATGGCAACAAGGTCAAGTTGCTTTGAGACGAGAACGATGCTTCACATGAAAGAAGGGATTGTGCGGGAATCCAATGTGCCCGACATGCCCCGAGAACAACGGACTATGCCATCACTGCTTGTTTTTGCGGGGAAGTTTCAAGCCCAGCTCCTTCCGAGGCTCGTGAAGAAGGAATGATGGAATCCTTCTATATATAAGAGGCATCATCAAACCACTCGACAAACGTTGAACACACTTTTCTTTTTTATTTTTGCTCATATTAAACATGGTTTCAAGACCCGGATCTCCTCGCCCCTCTAGCTCTGCTTCCCACACCAAGGTTGAAGAAGAGTTGCACGAAGTTGCTGGCATTGACTATGATAAGGTATGCATCAAGCGATCTTGATTTATGACAAAAGTGATGTTCATGATAGCTAATCTTACACATTGATCAATTAGGTCACTATCAAGCGTAATGCCTCTGTTGCTGTGCTTTACGAAGAAGCTCTTACCTATGAGCAAGGTACCGTGATCTCCTCTGCTGGTGCCCTTTGTGCCTACTCTGGCAAGAAGACTGGTCGTTCTCCCAAGGACAAGCGTATTGTTCGTGAAGAGACCTCTGATAAGGATATCTGGTGGGGCCCTGTCAACACTCCTCTTGACGAAAAGGTCTTTTTAATCAACCGTGAACGTGCCATTGACTACTTGAACACTCGTCCTCGCCTCTATGTCTTTGACGGTTATGCTGGTTGGGACCCTAAGTACCGCATCAAGGTCCGTGTTGTTGCTTCTCGTGCCTACCACATTTTGTTTATGCGCAACATGTTGATCCGCCCTACCGATGAGGAGCTCGAAAACTATGGCACTCCCGATTTCACCATCTTCAACGCTGGTGAATTCCCTGCCAACCGTTACACCACTGGTATGACTTCCACAACTTCCGTCTCTGTTAACTTCAAGCGCAACGAAATGGTCATCCTTGGTACCGAGTATGCTGGTGAAATGAAGAAGGGTGTAAGTATAATTTTATTGTGATCTTGGGATTTAAGAGATGGATGTTGATGATTTCATGTTATGTAGATCTTCACTGTTATGCATTATTTGATGCCTAAGGCTGGTGTCCTTTCTTTGCATTCTTCTGCCAACGAAGGTCCTGATGGTGATGTTTCTTTGTTCTTTGGTTTGTCTGGTACCGGCAAGACCACTCTTAGCGCTGATCCCAAGCGTCAATTGATTGGTGATGATGAGCACTGTTGGAGTGACTCTGGTGTCTTCAACATTGAAGGTGGTTGCTATGCCAAGTGTATTGATCTTTCCGGTGAGAAGGAGCCCGATATTTTCAACGCCATCAAGTTCGGTTCTATTCTTGAAAACGTTGTCTTGGATGAGGAATCTCGTGTTGTTGATTATGCTGACAGCTTCCTTACCGAAAACACTCGTGCCTCTTATCCTATCTACCACATCCCCAACGCCAAGATTCCTTGCATGGGTGGTCACCCCAAGAACATTATCTTGTTGACTTGTGATGCTTTCGGTGTCTTGCCTCCTGTTTCCAAATTGTCTGCTGCACAGGCCATGTATCACTTTATCTCTGGTTACACCACCAAGGTCCCTGGTACCGAAGATGGTATTGTTGAACCTCAAGCTACTTTCTCTGCTTGCTTTGGTGCTCCCTTCTTGGTCCTTCACCCTCAACGTTATGCTTCCATGCTTGCTGAAAAGATGTCTCAACACAAGGCTGATGCTTGGCTCATCAACACTGGTTGGATCGGTGGTAAGGCTGGTGTTGCTAAGCGTTGCCCTCTCAAGTACACTCGTGCCATCCTTGATGCTATTCACAACGGCGAGCTTGCCAATGCTGAATATGCTGACTATGAAGTCTTCAACCTCAAGGTCCCTAAGAAGGTCACCAATGTTCCTGATGAGATGCTTGATCCTCGCAAGGTCTGGATGGGTACTCCTGAAGAATACACCCAATCCCTCCACAAGGTCGCATCCATGTTTGCTGAAAACTTCAAGACTTACCAGGATGAAGCTGCTCCCGAAACCATTGCTGCTGGTCCCCAGTTGTAAACATCTTTTACCTTTTCACTCATATACACACGCATGCATCCCATCACGTTTCTCTTCTCTCACGCCATATTAATATACATGCAACACACAAAAAGAATCATTCACCAACATTCCCGCCTTTATCCTATCCCCCAACCCATTGTACAGTTTTAGCCATACTTTTCATTTTGGAATATAAAAAAAAGCAACACATGCTTTGTTTAGAATTGAAACATAACACTGATTGATGCCTTCTTCGCTTGTTCATTTGCTCTGTGCCTAAAAAGGTTTCTTTTTCTTCGCTTTATTGATAATGAATCGGAGCTTTCCATCTCCTACTATCATTACCTCTTGAGGATGCATACTTGGTACTATTACTACGACCCATTAATGATTGCGCGTAAGGTCATTCATATAATTATGATTTGACGGATTATGCAGGTTTCTATGCACAAAGGAAAAAAAGGGATTGCTGGCTTTTGTGTGCGAGTGTGTGGTATGTAAATGTGTGTTGTGTGTTGTGTGTGAATGTGATGTATGTAAGTGTGTGCGTGTGTGCATGCATTTCATGAAAAGGGAAAGAACGGCAGGGGATAACAAGGTCATGGACAAATGTGTGTGTGTGTGTGTGTGAAGGAGATGGTAACAAGGGGGTGATGGTATAGTGATTCACGCTACAAACGCAGTTGACAATGCAGCGCCTGCAGCTGGCGTTTATCTTCGGATGATACGGTGGGAATTGAGGAAAAGAGCGAATCGGTTGGCAAGGGCAAGTCACGTAAAGTGGATGATGATAAGCAATTATTGCCGTTGCTGCTAGTCATAGGTGGTGATGATGGAGTATAATAAATGACGGGAGATGACATGGTTGGATCATCGTCATCGGATGATACGCAAGGCGATGATGATAGAGATGGTGTTGCTTGTTGTTGGTGATCGATTATGGATGATGAATGGCGTAAAAGCGTGCGCGTAATAGAGGAATGAGGAGCACCAACGTTGGTATCAAGAGGATTCAACTCAGGATAAAGACCCACAGGGACATCAATTTGCTTGAGGTTGGGATCAGCAGATGGTTGTAGCAAACTACCAGCATAGACATCATCTTTGGTAATATAGGAAATTAGATGAAGCTTTTGGTTGCTAGCTGTGCATATGGAGAAGCTTTGTTTGATAAGACCATTTGGCTTGTACGTATAAACAGGGGTCATCTTGTTGTGTCGACGAGGACGTCGTTTTGTGCTTAGCTCCCGATACGTGAGAAAACTCCCCGAGACACGGCTAGGTGACCAAGTACGACCATCGGTCCACCGTCGCATACCAGCTTCATGTTCATCCCATACGAAAACGTGTCCAGATCGAATCTCATTACGCTCCTTGGATGATAAACGGTGGTGTACTCGCTTAAGCAAACCTTGTCGGCAAGCTTCAAAAATAATCAATGCGTCTTGTGGTGTTTTGATTTGTCCAATGTATGTTTGCATCCTCACAAATGAAAGTTGTATAGCAAGGGAAGATGAAGAAAGTAGTGAATGTTGGATGGTGTAAAGAGAGAATGTGATTTGTGTGCGAGGGTAGAAAGAAGAAAAACGTGATGAGCCGTGGATGATGGAATAGGGTTTATATAAGTTGACGGTCGTACTTGCCTTGTGCAATCGTCCCGTTAAAGTTGCGATCGTTTCATGCAGCTAACTTTGGTGCCAATTTGATCATTAAGCATCGAATACCACATAATCCATATCGGGTAAAATCACCACCATGCTATTTGTCAGAGATCTGCATCGGTTCGATTCTCGATCTTATTTACAGCTTCTCGCTTCTCATTCACGCACAACGTTATGCAAAAGGTATTTATTAATGCTTCTGTAATAGAACGTAATCGAATAAACTTTACTATTGGTTTCAGCAATCCGTTGAATTTACGCTGTGACCAAGCGAAGAGAAGAGAAGAAATTGTTACGGCGATCGTCTCCTTTCTAGGCTTGTTCCAAATGTTGCTGGCTGTTTTCTCCTTAGAGGCTTCATATCTTCTCAAGCATGCAAACGTTAAAAGCCTGCAATGATGAGCTTCACATCCACAAATGGATCTTCCCACCACCGTGTTGGTACAACCTTAAATATTGTGCCCTTGTTGCTATGACGACAGTGCATGTACCCGTTGCCTTGCACCGGTTGCCTACAATGTCCTTGGTGATCATTTAAGCATCCTTCATCTACTTTCAAGCATTGCATTCACGTTCTAGAGCAGCTACGTGGCAAAGAACGGGAAATTATAACATCGTGTTCCGTTGACGCCATCCCCGATAAAGTATGCTTTTGACAAAGAGGGCGATGGTGGCGTTTGTTAACCTGCGAAAGACAAACATTACTTCCCCAGTGTCATCATCACCATCATCATCAGCACATGACATAGCCAAAATGAAATGGTATTTCCGCGTGCAAGAGTACATTTTTACATTCACGTGATTTATCTCATATTCAAACGATGATTTGACCTCATATGATGCGGGAGGTGACGATCCTGATTGCTGTTGTTGGGTCTGTGTGGTTGCACGATGTATGTTCAACATAACGTCATAGTGCAAAGAGAGACATAATATTGTCCATAGCGTCATTTGTACTGCTTCCCACACAGGGGCTCCCTTCCACAAACGTAGGTTACATAAGAAGTCAATGGGGATGTTGATGGGATGTGCTCAATATGACTTTTACGATTGATGGGTATCAATATTAGAGGGAGGTGTACTTACCCACAAGCCCATTCATTGTTCACTTTGGTCATGTTGACATGGCATTATGTTGTTTCCATAGAAACATTTACGGAGGTCTGGGGTGCATTTTAAAGCAAAGTTGGCTCGATCGCATCACTCCGCCCAACGCCCAAGAGCTCGTTCCGACGTGTATCGTTGCACAGCCATTGCATCAAACAAATGCAAGACCACTTTTATACATAGATAGTATAGATAAAATCCCACAGCCCTCAACAATCATCCAAGCCAATGATCGATAAAGACGCTACTACCATGCATTGAATGGGAAACACGATCTTTATATATATCCATGTAATCTATTATTAAATGACTGGGGCCGATGATGATGGTCCAGAAGTTGATTTCCACGTGTACGTTTGCTTTTGTTAATGGCACCCACTGTGATTGTGCCACCGTAAATCACCACTCATCTCCTTTTCTCCTTGTTTTCCACTCGTCCTCCGCTTACCCTTTTCTGCCATCAGAGTCTCCCGCCATCTTGTCTTTGGTCGTCTTCTCTTTCAATTGGTGCAATGACAGCTGCTCTTGACTCCATTTCCCTCGACGATAACCCTTCAGCGGCTCGATCCCGTAATCGTGCACCATCGTTATCGACTGCATGTCCACCTGCAGGCGTCGTTCGACCTCCCACAACTACGTCTTCTTCTGGCAGTAGAGTTGGTGCTGATCCTTTCCATAACGCAAGTCAACTATGCAAAAGGCTGTTTCGGTTACGGATTACTCGATTACTTGCATGGGGATATCTTGCTATAAGCATGATCGTTTTTACCTTTCATTTGCCATCTTTGACATATAAATACAACCATCAACAACATGCATCCTCTTCGACACCAGGTCTGAAAACGACGACATTGCGTAAGATGTGGGAAAGGAAATGTATGAAAATGGAGTGGTGTTAATGCCATGTTTGTAGTGCAAAATGTAAACTCACAGACAATGATCTCCTCCTCGTCACATGGATCATCAGCATCATCACCTATCGACGAATTATCCTACCAGTTACGACTATCAAAAATGTTCTCAAAGTCTTTGGGACGCATGGATCATTTACGTCCTCATTGGTTCAGTGCTACCGTTGATCCTGATCCACAATCTCTCACACTTGCTACTGTACTCACTATGGATGAATGGCCAAATTTGATTCGATTAGCCGAGCAATGGAAAGGTAATATTGATTGATCACGATTAAGGACTTGGATGTTGATACATAAATGCTATAATAGGACCCATATCTGCTGCCCTTCAAATACCCACCGATGGTACCAATCTTGGTTCAGGAACAATGTTGCAGCACTTGTCAAGCATTCGAAGACACTATGACACCAATCCAACGCTCGCCCGCAATGTGGATTTGCACTTGATTGCTCGCCCAACTTCTGGAAATGATGGCAGGATACGTACAGGACAACAAGATGCACGCAACTTGGCTCGCTTGTTTGCACGTTCACGTTACGTTGCTCATATCCCCGTAACCACTTTATGGATGACCAACCTTACAGCTGCGGTGTCCACCTATCTCGATCGCTTGGATGCTGGCGACTTGCTTGTTGTTCCCACTTTTGCATTCCCGAAAGAAAGTAACCGAAAGATTGCTACGATTGCATTTGGTATGGAAGAGGAGTATCATTGGCCGACCAGCAAGGCTGAAATGGTGGAATGGGTTGATGACAATCGCATGGGCATCCTTGATTATCATTGGAACCTTAACACTGGCCCTACATCTTACCCTCTTTGGCGTGAAGCATCGGAGCCATACTTGGTGCCCAACTACGATTACCACTATAGTCCTGTGTATATTGCCACGCGAGATGATCATCCCTGGTAAGTAGTACCTTGCTTGCATGTGTGACACGAAAATTAATCTCTGGTAACAGGTGCGAGGAACGCTTCATGGATGAACCATCAGCATGTCTATACTCGACTTACTTGAATGGTGCCAATCTTTGGGTGCTTCCAAATGACTACATTGTTCGCACAGGCCAAGAACCTGAGAATAAGTTAACTAAGGATGAGGTAAGTACATAAAATGGCTCATAGCAACAATATACCCAATTTGGTACTGAAACTTTTTTGGATCTCATGTAGCGCATCCTGCAGTTGAAGCTGTACAAAAACTACCGCATCGAGCAATGTGTTTTTTATGCTCGTCAATTTGATCAAGTGGGCACGTTTAGCACTGAGCAAAGTGATCACGTCCAACAAGAATGTGTCAAGGAGCTGGGAAGTTTACGAAGACAAAAGATGATTAGTTCGGCATTGTCAAAGTCACATCACTAAAATACATCATCCATCATATATTTTTGGGAGCGACGGGTTTCGTTTCTTAAGTTACCATTTGTACAATAAAAGAAGATCCATGTATACATAAAAGTTACTCTAATAGCTGCTCCGATCGACATCATCATCATAATAACTTCATCCCCGAAACACCATATCGAAGCTAATGCACGGTTGGCTTAGGCTCATTTTTTCCTCTCCTTGCATTTAAGTTCCCCATTTGATTCCCTTTCTCCGGTTTGCTGCTGCTGCCTGCTGCTGCTTAATCGACCATCCTTTTGTTTTGGCCCTTTCTCTTTCGACTATTTTTAATATCGTCCCTTGACTTTCTTTTATTACAATATGCCCTCCGTAATAGCCAAGGTAAAAACACAAATCGAGCTTTGGAAAGTTGGCAAGTACACCAAACGTCGCTCCTATCTTCCTGAATTCGAACCGAGAGGTGTGTACCATCCACTGCCGTCATAAGGCAAAAGATTAAACATGCATTTCTTATATGATTAGACAAGGATCACTACCGGCAATCTTATCATGATGGTGTCTATTTGTCATCCATGCTTGACGATAGATCATCGACTCCACGAAAAAAACGGATACTGTTTGGTGGCGTTGTTGGTGGCAAGAGAAAATCAGTTCCCTCATTTCCCCCACCGCAGTGTTCAGAAACCTATACACTATCGTATTTCGATCGATCCTACTAGACGAAAAGCATCATCAAACACAATACCATCACCATCATTTGTAGTAGAAATACGAAACCATTTCATCCGAGCATTGTTTGTAACCCAGCAACATGCTGCATTGTTTATGTTGGTTGATGAAGAATATATCATTGGGAGTTGCCTATATGAATGTGAATGTAGCAAGGATAAAGACGCTATGTATGTGCGTGTATGATGATGAAAGAAGGAGATGTCAAGAAGGGGTGGTGATGGTTTTTATGATGAGCAATCCCCGCCAACGATATTATGTATGCAAAATGAAAAACGACTAAGCAGGTACACGCATCGCATATGTATTAACCCCATGGGTACGTTCCCCTGAATGATTGCTGTTGTCCAGGAGACCATATTCCCTTTATTTTAACATTATCAATGGGAGATAGGTGATTGCATGAATACTGGCTTTGCACAATGAGTGAGAGGGGAACTGAGTTTCTTCTTAATTGCATACGCGTGTGCCGTGCATACATATCATCACTCTTTCCTTGTATTCTTTACTCATTCATACACACACAACCATGGCAAGCGATATTGATACTCTCGTTGATATGGGCTTCTCTCGCGTCAAAGTGTACGTTACATGCTCCTCATTTATTGTCATTGGGCACTGACTCTCCTTGGTTTATAGCCAAAAAGCGTGGAAGGCAACTAATGGAGCTGGTCTACAACCTGCTATGGATTGGTAAGAAGCAATCGTATTTCTCTTTTTCTTGTATACGGATTCTCAAGTGGCGCATGCTAGGTTGCTAGCCCATCCCGAAGTCTCTGATGAGCCTGACGAGGACACTGCACCCCAAGCACTTGGTAGCAGCAGCAGCAGTAACCCTTCACAACCCACCAGTGAAGCACCCAAAGAAAGTGAAGAAGGTAAGGCGACGCTATTCTTTTATACATCAAACACGAGAATACACACTTAGATTGGATGTTGTCTATGTTTAGGTGAAATCAAGGAAGGTGAACAGACTGCCCAAAGTCTTGTGTGTAATGATTGTGGCAAGCTTTTCCGTGATGGTATGTGAAGGTGATAAATCAATGTTTGCGTTTGCTTATACAGCATATGTAGCCGCAACTGCTGAACGACATGCTATCAAGACTTCGCATCAAAACTTTTCCGAGAGCACACAGGCCATTGCACCATTGACCGAGGAGGAAAAACAAGCCAAGTTGGCTGAACTCAAGGCGAGACTTGCTGAGAAACGTGCTGCCAAGGCACGTGAAGAAGCTGAGGAACGTCGTCAATCCGAAAAGATTCGTCGCAAGACCGGTCAAGAAATCTCAGTAGCACGTCAGCAGATGGAGGAGAAGGAGATGAAGAAGGCTATGGAAGCAAAGAGAAGGGAAAAGGAAGCAGATAAACTGGCCAAGGCTAAGATCAAGGCGCAAATTGAACAAGACAAAAAGGAACGTCAAGCAAAGGTAATACGAAGGGGATGGTATGTTCTTATGAGATAGTACTCATCCTTCCTTTTATTATAGCGTGAAGCCGCAAAGCTAGCAGCCCAAGAACAAAAAGAGCAACAAGCAGCAGCAGCATCATCATCATCTTCAGCCGCCGCAGCTGCTCCAGCAGCAAAGAAGGAATATAATGAAGCTCGCTTGCAGGTAATGTGATTGTGAATAAGGATGGATCATCAGATGACAAGCGTATTGAATGATGCCATTGAGTAGTTCCGTGTCCCAGGCATAGCACCTATCACTCAAACATTCCCTGCTGACACCACTCTTCAACAAGTACACGAGTTTTTGCAATCCAAGGGATGTAATCAACCATTTGCTCTTTCGATGACTTTCCCCAGGTATTAAACATTTGCATGTTTTATCTACTTGTGTGTTTCGAAGATTGACCATTGTTATAGGAAAACGTTTGGAGGAGACGATCTTGACAAGACATTGAAGGAACTTAGTAAGTAGTAGAGCAGGGGTGGAGAGCAATTTGGATGTGCAGAGTCGTTGGATCCACGTACCAAGTACTTACCTTTGCACTTTTAGATCTTGTACCATCCTCTGCATTGATTCTCAACTACAACTAGATAAGACTTTATGAAGACGTTCTTGAATGAAAGGATAAAATTACACATTTTGCATACGGTCGTTTTCCATGAATGATTGAATAAGAATGGATTTAGGATTTGATGTTCTTGAGCCGATGCCATTTTTAGCGAGGACACTATTATTCATTCCTCATATTGATTGTTGATGCATACCATAGGTGTCTGAGCTTTGTATGAAGGAGACGAGATGCGTACCTTTTTCAAGAGCGATTTATTCGGTGGGCATAGCCCAAATTCTACCCTACTACAATACTTGCTCTATTTTGTGGTATACGTGCAAAATACATTACACAGGATGATGGTCTATAAGGGGGATGCTGATAATCACTTCAATGCTTCAAGGATGTCGACGACAGGTGCAAAGTTGGCATCACGCATAATGACGATATCAAAGGCTTCAGTGTAGAGGTCCTCAGTGGTCTCCCAATCATGGTTGCAGAATCCGATATTAAGACACAAATCATGCTTCACGCCCTTGCTCATTTTCAAATCACCAAGCGAGTCTCCCATAAGGATGACATTGGCACGAGATTCAATGGATTCAAAGTAAGGTGTTGTCTCGAGTTGAAACTCACTCTTGTTGAATACATGGATGAGTGGGTCGACGAATGAATCGCAATAGCCTTGTTCGTCAAAGTGCATCATGTTGGAGACGATGTGCATGTTGGGATATAAAAGCTTCTTTGCCTTGAGGACTTCATCAATCACATTTCCAATACCAGCCGAGAAGACGAGGAAAGGAATGTTGGTCTTGTGACACATGGACAACACCGTTTCGACGCGTGGACGGAGAGAGATGTGAGCTTCTTCAGCCATGTTACGGAGATCTATCGTATTCTCAATGTCAATTTCCATTGTATGGACATCATCCTCATCAAACATACCATCACGAGACAACTTTTGTTCGATCATCAAGTTGTGTGCCTTTTGCCACCATTCTACCATGTATGGTAACCTCTCTTCAAATGACATTTTCTGGTTGATCTCGATCGGGTAATATGTCTTGACCAGTTTATCCGACGCCTTTCGAAACTATAATGGCACACGCGTCAAATGACTCATCCCATGTAATCTTTTTCTGTCATTCTCCAGAATCCCAAATCCACCATGATACCAACCTCATCAGACATTTTGGAGTATCTTGCAGGCACACCATGGCATGATGGATTACGTTCCAACGCATCAGTCACCTGGTTGCGCACCCAGTAACGTGACATGGTCATATCAAAGTCTATAGTATGGCAATACGCTGGTCAATAAACGAACCATGTTTTGTTGGTGAACAACGTGAGGAGCCATACCGCTAATGAAGTGCAGATTGATGGGGCCATCTTGCAGAATCTTGCCCAACTTTTGCGTGGTCGCTTCAATGTTCTTGATGCGTACAGTGGGATTGCGAAGAAGTGCTTGAACTATTGTTATGTGAATGACTGTCAATAAGCGATAGCGAGCATGTGACATTGAGCGATTTGTAACTTGCCAAGTTCTGCTGCTTTTGTCAGGGACATTTGTGAAGAAGAAAAGAAAAGAGAAAGGTGTCGGACATGTCAAAGGTAAGCGGCTCGTTTTATTCGCACGATAATAGTGTGTGGCATAAAGATCCATATAAAGAAATAAAGGGGCAACAGGGGCATGAAAGGGCTATACATGAACAAAGAAAACTATACAATGGAGCATAAGAGAATGAAGTAAGGGTGCATGCATAAGTCAAAAGAGAGATCATGGGATAAGAAAAAAAAGTGATGATGATGATGATGAGGGGGGAATATTCTATTTACATAAATTCAAAGGGGTTGTGGAAAATCACTCGAGGACGAGATCAGCAACAGTGGCAAGAACCTTGGAAGGGAAATCTCGCTTGGCCATCATATCCAGAATCTCCTTGGCCTTGTCGATTCTCCCATTATCGATGTAAGCACGCACCATGGTCTCATAGGTACTTGGTTCACGTACGACAACAGCCATAGGAGGTTGATGATCATTCGATGAAGAGCTTGTTGTGGTTGAGAATGATGAGGATGAGCGTAATAGTTTGTCGTCTGTCATTGTAGAGAAGATATGCTCTGCCTTGGCAAGGTTGCCCTGTTGACCATAACCACGAATAAAGAGATTCTCAATATAGGGCGAAGGGCTCTTGTGGATGGTTTGCAGCATATGATAGTAAAGATTCTCCGCACGATCCATGTGGCCATTGGTGATAAGTGTATCGAGAAGGGCCTGAAAGACAACCTCGTCTGGTTGAACATGCATGGTCTCAAATACTTGCTCAGCACTGCGAACATCACGTTGTAGAATGCCATACGAGTAGATCAACGTTGCATAATGCGTTGGTTCGGGTCGAATACCATGGCGACGTTCCATTTCAGTAAGCATGCGATGGGCTGTCACCATATCCGTAGGGGTAATGTTTGCGTACATCTCAATCATCAACTTATAAGTGTGAGCGGAGGGTCGTATACGGCGCTTGTACATTTCTGATACGTATTCGAGTGCCCTGGTGCGATTGGGTTGTTGACGTACATAGAACTGAATCATGTTGTTGAAAGGACCAACGCGTGGTTGATAGGAGGGTGCTGACAACATCTCACCAAATATACGTCTTGCGTGGCTCTCGGATCCTGCACGTACACATGCTGACAACACGGCACCATAGGTGATGCAATTGGGTACAACTTGGAGTTCCTGCATCTCCTCAAATAATCGCAATGCTGGTTCCAATTTGCGTGCCTTGGCAAACTTGCTGATAATCACATTGTAAAAGAATGTCGTGGGCTGCACACCATGTCGCTTGGCTTCTTCGTAAATTGTCAATGCATCCGTGGCTTCATCCGTGGCGCACCGTGCACTACCCAATAAGAGTGATGCGTAGGCGTTGCTATCAGGCACGTATCCCATGGTCTTGATGGTATCATAGCATTTCTTGGCAAGCACCATTTTGCCATGTTGCGCATACACAATCAATAATGCATTCAACACCAAATAGATGTCTTCTTGACCATTGGCCTTGTTAGCAACTCGATTGTCACCATTGTACAACTCGTAAATCTTGGTTGCCATATCAACATTGCCATGCTTGCCTGCAGCAGTAATCGCATCACGCATAGACTCAGCCGTTGGTGTCAATCCACTCTTGATGAATTTATGTTTGAGAAGATGGAAGGCTTCATCCCAATCACCACGAGCTGCTGCACGCGAGAGTTCCATTGACATGGTATCCACCTCGTTGGATAGCTTGGTATGTCTATTGAGAACAGCCTTCCATTCGCTTTCAGATGTCTTTAAGCCAAGATGACGCAGCCTTCCAAGGACCTTTTTGAATAGCGGCATAGGGGGTCGAAAACGAGTGGTTGCTACATCATACACGAGCGCCTCCAATGCCTGCTGTTGTTGTTCATTGTTGTCGTCAAAATGGTGTTCAATGACCGCTTCGCATAACATGATCAAGTCGTCATTGTTGGTGTCATCATCCAATACGGTTGTCGACGATGTGCGTTGACGTAAGCGTTGCCAGGTATCCACAAGTGCCGTATTAACGTTGACTGTTGCAGGTGCCGATAACGATAATTCGTGAAGCATTCCATGAACAAGACGTGCCATTTGCAGTGCCTGAATCACGTGATCACTTTGCTGGATTACAGCGATACTGGAATTGACCAACATGTCGGCTGATTTGGAAAGCGTACGAGGAGATGACATGGCTGATAAAACAATATGAAATGCATGAATGGCCTTGTCGACATTGCTGTTGTTGGTGAAAAAAGATATGATGCGATCGGCGAGAATGGGATCGGGTTCAAGACCAGCATGTCTCATGTCGTCGACGACGTTGAGAGCATCGTCTCCATGGCCAGAATTGAGGCACAACAATGCATAGTTGGCGAGATTTCCATACGCTTTGGCAATGTCAGTGGTAAGAAGTTGAGCATAGACTTTTGACGCTGGCTGCCATTTTGCGGCTTGACAATATGCCGCAAGGATCGGACCATAGCTGCTGGCATCTGGTTTAGGGAGCGTGGTGTGCTCATCATCATTGCTTTCCACAAGGCTACGAACGACCTCGCATGCATCCTCCACATGATCGTGTGCACAATAATGGCGAATGATGGAATTGTACGGGATAATGGTAATGGTGATGTTGTCGGCAACCATATCATGTTGCAGCACTTGCAATGCTTTTGACAGCTGATTGCACTTTAGATAGGCATCAACCAAGGCGTTATAAACATAGGATGCATCATGTTCTGGAAGACTGAAGCGAATGGTCTTGTACTCGCCAAAGAATCCAAGTGCAGATTCAATATCACCAGCCCGACCCATGAGATTGATAAGTGCAGCAAATGTGGCCGAATTGGGACCTGTGGTAGGTGAATGCACCAATTGATTGTAGACGAATCGACCATCCACCGTATTCCCATAATGTGAAAGCACACGCAGGAGCTGATTATAGAGTTCGACATCAAAATCTTGATCCACGTGGTGCTCCGCGGCTTCTCGGAATATGGCCAAAGCCTTTTCCAAATTATGCTCCGTTTCAAGTAATCGCACATCTTCATCAACCACTCGAGCAACCCCTGTACGTGCTGCTTGTCGTTTCAACATGGCAATTGTTTTTTGCACCTCAACATCTCGTCGACATAGCACTCGAATCAACACTGTGTATGTGTAGTTTGTCGGTGTAATCTCACTTTGTCGCATTTCATCATACACTACAAGATGTTAAAAAGTCATCAATATATTATGCATTATCGTATTGGATTGTTTCATGGTGATATTTACGCTTCAAAATTTGGTTCAATGGTGTGCCTTCACGTCGAAGAGTTGCTTGTGCATCAAGGACAACATTGTATGTGTGATGTGTGAGAGGGATGCGTTGCTTTTTCATTGAGCCAAGCTGAATCATTACAGCCCGCAAATTTCCGCTGCGTTTAGCTGCCAGGATTCTCGCATTGTATTCTGATGATCGAGAAAACGATGGTGATAAATGCTGAGGCGCACCCACAGGTGAAGGTGGTGGTGTGGGGAGATCGACAGAGACATCATCTGAAGCGTGTTGCTGTTGATTCACGTCATCATTGGTGTCATGCTGCTGTGTGCTGCTGCTGCTGCTGCTGTCACCATCCTGAGATAATGCTGATGTCGTCGTAGGAGCGTTACGTTTACGATGATGGGTACGGTGCTGATAATGTGGAATTCGTTGTAGTGTATTGTGCTCGTAGTTGTTAGCAAAACAATGTTGGGTTGACTTTGTAATATGTGGTCCATTCATTATGTGAGGATAATGCAAAGAAAAAAGGTCAAGGAAGCAAATGCAGCACACAAAAGAGGAATGATTTATAATTGGTGATCGCCGTCAATACCCCCAAACGGATTGATGTGTGTTATCAGATGCCTCATTCTCCGCTATGATCTGATAAAATTGGGTGCCCTGTGCAGAGCAAAAGGAGTGGTGCCAGATTGGCTGAGAACTCAACCCATTTCAATCGTTGCCAGCCATAATCGTATTAATAAAAATAGATGTTGAAGGAAGTTAAGATGGATAGCCAATGAAGGCAGCAAGCTATCATTATTCTTAGCAGCTATCGGATTGCTTGATGCTCTGCAATGCTCTCACCTTGTATCATACGTCAGTGAATTGTTGCATACCTCCTTGCATCATACATTTGAAGCTTCTGCATACTCGGTCTGAAGGTATATGTACCCATACGCGCCTGCAGGTAATGATAAATACAAATATCTGATACACCGTAGCCAGCAATAAGAGCAAAAACGGGGCACACTTTATGAACGAATCAGATAATAACAATGATCCGCCTCTTAGCAGTCAGCACCATCAGATATTAACGATCTTGATGGCTAACCAGCAATTCGGGTATACCTATTAAATGTTTGATCTTCGTGCTTTGGTGTGTAGCAATCACCTCCACATTACCGATTTCATCATCAGCTGCGATCGGTGATGTGCATGAAAGTAACATCACCGGCGTTTGGTTTTACGTTACATGCGATAATGCACCATCTACACATCTATACGATGGGTCAACAAGCTCGAAGCCATAGTAGTTGTGTAGGAATGGAATGCATGGTGTAATAATGCTTTGATTTTGACAAAGGTGGGTGGAAGCTGCTACAAAATGACCAGCAAACGAATGAGTATTTTTGACTATATCGGTAATGTTGCTATTGTACACAGCTATAAACCACGTCAGCAACATGTGACCCATTGTTTTGACGTGTTTGTCTATCATGGTGGCAATAATTGACAATGACAACGTTTGGGACAATCAACCACCTTTGTTTCTTTGTTTCTTTTTCAGAGAGCTGAATGCTGTTAAAATGTTGTACATGGTTGTTCGATACGAGAGAGAAGAGAGGGAGACGTCATCTTTTCTTTTACTATGAGCAATGACAAGATGTTCTAGGAAGATCTGTCGTATATGAGGCTTGTGCAACGATGCGCTTGATTGCGACGTGACACAAAGGAAAGCTACGGTGTGACGTTAGCCGAAGGATACGAGCAAAACCATAATATGGTGTTCTTGCCCAAGTACATAAACGTTTGATATTTGGAATGACGCAATTACACAGCGGGCTAGCTGCAACATCCAAACCTAGGTTACTGTTGCCTTGTTACCAAAGATGAATGAGCGTTGTGATATGGCAACCCCTCTTTTTAGAATGGCAGCCTCTCTTATTTAAATGATGAAAGTATTGAAGCATGGCTGTATTATAGCATGTCAAAAAATAACAGTGATTGGAGAAGTGCAGTGGACTTGAGTGGCCAAATGCATGTTGTTTACCCGACCAAGAAAGAAACCCGACGCATTAGCTGCAGGCTCATGCATCGTTAATTGAGAAGAGACCATTTCAACGAATAGGCTTGTCCTTTTGCTTACGAATGTTTATTGCAGCAGTGCGCTTTTGCCTAACAACAAGGCCATTTTTTCCAGCGTTGCTATGCAGTGTCACCCATTAGCTGCATAATGCATAGCTGATGCATTGTGGAGGAGTCACAACCTTGTAGTATAGCAGCAGTGACCATCATCACCCCAAGAAACGCAAAGGGCTCAGGTTGCACAGGATACTGTGATCACGCGGTAAAAGGCTATATTCAAAAGAGAGGATTGTGTATGGTGTTGTGGGATGAATTACATGCCTGTCATACGTGAAAAAGTCAAGGGACATGACATATGACCAATATCAGCTTATTTACCCCATAGACACATGCATTGAGCTCACACACACATACAACAGCAGATCACAACTTGCTGCTGTGCATGTTCATAACAGTGGGGAGCTGGGGTTGGCGGGCCCCACAAAAGGCAAGGTGCCACCTTTGCTCCGCTGCCCTGAAATCTAACATGCAGCACCCACTCACACCTCCAACCCCACAAAAAAATAGAGAAAGGGGATAGGAGAGAAAATGCATATCACTTGTTTTTCCTTTTGTTTCGCTTGTTTTTCTTCCTTTTTCCTTTACGCCTGTAAGCGTGTAGAGGAGAAAAGTAGTATCGATTCATCTGTATATTCTTTCTCCTCATTTCCTTTCCTCTCAGCTAAATGACTCTATTATCCACACCCACCGAACTCACAACGTATCCAACGTCGATTCATGATTCGCCCACCTTACTACCCGAAAACCTAGCAAGTTTTGTGACAGCAGCCTCACTTGCAGCACGCCTCTCGTTAAGATGTTCATCCGTCTTTGCTGAAGCCCTATTTGAAGCTGCAAAGTACGGCACGGTGCTGTCGCTTGGGCTATCGAGACATGCATTGACGAATGCTTTAGCCACTGCTAAGCGTATCCACACCCTCACATACGATAAATCACCGAGCGAAGTAGAAGAAAGGTACCATCTCATCTCTACTTTTACACATAACAACAGCCGTTCTTACACATACGAGTATAGTGGATTTTTGCGTGTCCTCGAAAAGTATACCAGCCTCGGCATTTATATTGTTCATAATACATTTACCTTGGCAGAGCTTTTTGCCTTATCAGGGTTGCAGCTGACATCCCAAACCGTTAAGTCGGGTCTCAAGGTGAGTGAGAGTTTTATTGTGTGAGAGATTATGTGTTTCAACTTTTGTTAACGTTTATACATGTTAGACGGCTGAGGAATCTGTTCGCATCATTGATGGGATTTTTGGATCGAATGAAACGTCAAGGGCGATTGCATCGATTATCACTTTGGTGCATCGTGAGCTTACGCAGGATCCAGAATTTGAGCTGCTTGCAAAAAGTGGCAAAGTAGCGATATTAGCAGGGCTGACAAAAGCCATGACCGCCTTTGCTGTTCTGCAGTATGTCACACACAAGCGGATGATGAAACAAGTCAAGGTTACCGCATTGTGGGATGGTCTCGTGCCCGATGATGAGGACGACAAGGACGATAAATCAGCGTCTCAGCAGCCCCTGATACCTTTTCGTGAACCATCTCCTGATGTGATTTACGAGCTTGAAAAGGTGTTGGTGCATGGGATGGATGATGACAATGACCAGCAACAAATAACAACAAGAGGCAGCAATAATGAACCATATGGGATGTATGAAGTTACCACAACCACGCGATATACCACTACGACAACCACTCGTATACAACCAATCGATCGAAATCAACATGAACAACATCGACCGAAAGCCAAGTATGTCATTGTGCAGGCCGAAGAGGAGCGACAAGATACGTTCATGGCCACTGTTGATGGATTTCAGCCGACAGCTTCCTCATCTCAACAACCTTCATCACAGCAACTTGTTGTTGCACCATCATTGTCGAATTCCGTTTCGGCGGATACTCAGCTTGCTAATGAAGAACGTGGTATCAAAGTGATGCTATCATCCATATCACAAAAGTTGACATCACAGCAAATTCAAAGGCATGAGCGATATGGCGAACCCTTCTCACCCGATATTGAGGACACCAGATCCAAACGTCGACCTACTTGTTGGAATAAGCGTACAGTATCCGACTTGTATGAACGACATAGCAGAGCCAATGGTATGACCAGCTTTGTAAGACAACGACGATCATCCACCAGCAGCGTCGTATTCCCATCCATTACCCCACTTGACAACAATGATCCATCTTCGATTCCACGCCGACGTATTTATCGATCGCATTCCATATCCAATACCATCTCGACTATTACAACGACTTTGCATCCTACTACTTCTACTTCTACTACTACTACAACAGCAACTACTAGTAACCCATCAGCATCATCATCATCATCATCATCACCACCACCACCTCCACCACCCAACAACTCTGTGATCCATTACCCTTCTTCTGATACCCTTCCACCACCATCAGCAGCTCTTGATGCATCCACCTTTTCACGATCCCACTTGATTGCCAATATTGGACGATTCATGCGATATGCGAGTGCAGCGTATGGCGAGTCGTTTATGCGGATCCTTGGCATCGGCAATATACCCAGCGTACTCCCATCCTCAGCACATCATCCACCAAACCATCATGTTTTTGCTCATCATACAGGCGTTGCTATCGAAGACATCTTGCTGTCAAGCTATACTGATCGATCACCGTTACTTACAATGCATCACCCATCGATCCATGAACTCGTTCACTACGTTACCGTGGACCATGCAGCACGCGCTATCGTTCTCACTTGCCGTGGCACATTGGGATTGAGTGATGTGTTGACTGATTTGACCTGTGCCTATGCCGATGTGACCATTGCTGGCCAAGAAGATGAGGAATTCAAGGCTCATGGCGGTATGTGGGATGCAGCTCAAATGCTCGCCAAACAAAAAGGACGTGTGTTCCAAGCAATCCAGGAAGGACTTGCCATGTATCCATCGTATGGTCTTGTGTTGTGTGGTCATTCATTGGGTGGTGGCGTGGCGAGTCTCGTTGGTGTATTATGGAGCGAAAAGAAGAAGGAAAATGGCCAATTTGTGCTCTCGAATGCTTCTGGTTTACCAGCTGGAAGACCCATTCATTGTTACGTATTTGGACCGCCAAGCGTCATGTCACTCGATTTAAGCAAGTATTGCAGTGGTCTTGTCACTAGCGTTGTTCATGGCTATGACATCGTTAGCTGCCTCAGTCTTGGTTTGCTCAAGGATTTCAAAAACGTGGCCGTCAGCCTTCACACGGAGAGCCATGTTGCTGATGAGATCTTGTCACGTATTGTCAGCAGGTACTGCAAGAATGGTGAAGCTTCCAAGCAACAAGAAGACAAGGACAAGGATGACGACGATTGGTTCTGGGCATTGATCAAAACAATGCGAGCTGACATGCGAGCTGACAAGTTGTATCCACCCTCCACCGTGTATCACATTGAACTCATATCCCAATTGGCACCTGCCCCTTCCTCACAAAAAATGCATCGTGTACGTCTCACTCGCTGCGACGACCTTGAAGCTCGATTCTCCGAAATTGTCTTTTCTCGTTCCATGTTCATAGACCACGCACCTCCTATGTATGAAAAAGCCATCCGTCAACTCTGTAGAGGATTCTCTGGGAAGGATAAGGCTTATGAAAACTTGTAAAAAGAATGAATATTATTACTATTGTATACATCGTCTACATACATGCATGATGTCCTTGTTATAAAACAATGAGTGAAAGGAATGTGGGAAGGTCGTCGACGTCGTGTGATGAGGTATGTGCTCACCTGCCATGCACTGGTTACACAGCTTCATTGAGCTGTAACACAATGATGCAGTATGGAAGAAATGGGGGGAGGGGGGAGGAGGGAAGCGGAATACATAGCATGAGACAAAACACCTGATGTCAAGCATGATGATGTTGGCCCCACCATCATGATACCAATAACAAGTTACTACTTGCCATTATGACACAATTGTTAATGAGATGTTTTGTTCGGCTCAATGTACGAGCTATGATACGACGAGCGCTAATAGGCAATTACTACTACCCGCATTGTTTATTCTCTCACATAGCAACCTGTTGTTGTTGCTATGCTGTTGCCTTGACAACAGGCGACAGACAATGTGACAGCAATAACAGGGTCGTCATGTTAGGATATTTGAAGATTCCATATACCCGATGCACGCCAGCAATGAGCCTATTAGAGCGGAGGGGCAACTGCAGGTAAATATTAGGCACAACAACATCATCATGTATGTATACACACATGGGCATGTTCAAAGGAGAGAGGAAAAAAGCAAATGCATATGCATGGGTATATACACAACAATCACCCAAAGCCAAGGAATTTATATTACACATGGAAATTGAATCATGATGATGATAATGGTATCTACTACAACAAGAACGCTGCTTGCTGTTATGTTTGTTGTTACTCAAAAGGATTGGTCTTGCCATCTTGTGGTCGTTTTTCTCGTCGATTAGCACGGCGGTTGTTCATGTATTGTCGAAATTGTTGAAGCATGCTGTTAATCTGCTGTCGGGTACTTGTGCAATAATTGTAATGTTTGGCACTTTTTGGTATGTCGCAAGCAGTGGATGATGAAGGCGGTATCCTTGAATGCTTGTGTTGCACAGAATGGTATCCCGGAATCTGTGGTAGTAGTGATGGTGGTGGTGATGATGAGAGTAGTAGTTGATCTCGTTCACTGTATGGTGGTGGTGGTGGTGGCGCATGGTCATTGTAAAAGCCGACCATCTCATTTTGGTGCTCCATAAACTTTGAGACTCTTTGTGAAGTCATCCTCAAAAATTCAGGTAGGAAGATGATATGGGTATGAAATTGGGTGTGTGAGAAGGGCCTTGGTTTGTTGCAAACCCCGTTGCTTTTATACTATCTCATTCATATGCTTTGATGTGCCTCTCCCTAATTGGTTAAAGCTTCTTTTTTTCTCTCTTTATTGCTACAAAAGGTCACAGGGGAGGTCAAGACAAAGAGAGAAGGTGGGGGGTTGTGTGTATATCAATGTGCGTGTATCGGCATGGATGATGATGATGGATGTCCTGTATGAGAGACAACAACATTGCGTCTCGTTGTTACGGGATGCCATGTTTTGACGTTCACCGGATTTGTCTTTACCCACCCCTTCCCCCTTCATCGTTATTGCACCGCTTTAACTTTGTAGAGGGATCGGCACTATCCGTGCCAAGAGAAACGTGCGGGTTTTTTGTGTCATTACACTTGATAGTGATGCGTAGTGATGCTCATGACGTTTGCATGGATAGGGTTGTCCCGCATAAAAGACCCGATGCCCTATCATATCTCGCTGTGTTGTCATGAGCACATATGGGAATCATCGGCATTGGCCCTTGATGGGATTATATATTGAGCCGTCACCCGAATTGTAAGCCGATTAAATAGATGTATTTTTATGATGTTGATCTCTTCCACCTTTGATGTAAAGTTGCCAGAACAGCTGACGCAATGGGCACATCATGCAACAACAGGAGCTATGCATATTGTAATGATCCCTGATACAAGCGTGTTTCAATTACTTATCCTTGGATTGCATACTGTATTATTAGTGTGTCTCCAAAAAGCAGATGATGATATGAAAGGGGTCTTGCTTGTGGCAACCTTTATCAGCGATGGATACACAAAAGGGGACACCCTGTGGCGTATTGTTTTGGTACGTGCCTCAATGCCAAGATACACAATACAGGTCTTGGCTGTGTTGATGGTTGCCTAGGTATGACATAGCATGAACGTTTCTAAGGTTACGGGTCGATCGGGATTTTGGCACAGAGGCTGGAGATAAACATCCATGTCTCAATCGGGGACCACATGCATTGGTTTGTCTGTATTTGTAATGGTATTCGGTATCACAGCGGCAATGTATATTGAGAACAAGCTCTTGAATGCTGTCATCGTGGTGGTAATGATTATGCGAATAGCCCCAACACCGATTCACGTCCGTTGCTTTTCACCCCCCGATTGCAATTGATACAACGGCTCCCGCGGCTTCCTTTTTGATGAACAGGTACCAGGTTCAGGTGCATAACATTTCTCCGTTACCCTCCTTGATTGTTTGTGACATATCACAAATGTCGCTATCCCAATCCATGAACATAAGAATACAACGTGGATGGAATTTTGTGCATGGGACTAGATGTGGGTTCCCTTCATTGCATTTTGTGCTCAGCATTCGACTCGTTGCTATGCACCCATCATTATTTTGATCTGGGAGCTCGTTCAGCCAATGCCATTATCTTACTAATTCAGGATACTTGCCAACAATGATTCAAAAGAAAACATCTTTATGGGATGGATGACGTGTTTTTGTCACCAAACATGTAGTATTATTGTTGCTGCAGCTGGTACATGCGATCACGGGATGCACTTGGAACGTATTTATGGGTATACCTTCATGCATGTTGGTGATGCATACATAGCGTGTAGCTTTAATGCCATGTGGCCTGCGGGATTTTTAGGTCCTCCAGCATCCCGTGGCTATGACTGCTGTGTATGTAGATGTGGTGCCTGATTATCGGTTGAAAGTGTTCCTTCATCCCGCCATCCCATCTTTTCTTCCCCATTTTTTCCACGCCAGTGATTTATGCAATGTACGGTAGCCCATTTAGAAGAAGATGGTCTACTCGCCATAGTATCATGTGTTCATGCTTATACCAGTGATGAATGTTGAATATCCAAAACGGCTACAACTACTATGCACATCGTTTTTAAGGGATGGCTGGTTGAAAGCATTATTGCTGATCATTGAGCTGAGATCTCAAAATAGAGGAAGAAATTCTTGTATTCAACAGGTGAAATTAACTCATCATTCTATAAACTGCTCCATTCTACTCTACATGGCATCCAATGTTGTATACGATAGCACATCATTGATGCGTTAATGCAAAGGAGATGTTCAAGTCTGGATAAACAATTGCCGGATTCCCACACATGCAAGGACGGCGATTATTCCACGGAGGAAAAGCGCTTGTGTAGGGAAAGGAAACGATAGCCACTTGCTGCTTATAGTCAAGATGATCGCTTCATACAATGTGCAACCGCCGCATTTTCTTGGATCTGGAATAATGTGTGGGAATTTGTTGAATTGCTTCCATCATACTTCTTGACCGTGCTCTCGGAAGCGGGTAAAATGACCAATCACAGAACACGTTCTCGATAAGACGTTTGCTGAGTACAAGCAACAAGAGCTAAACCTTAAACAATCAGGACACGGGTAAGGCTGCGGAACTTGTATGAAAGGAGGGGTTGGGTAACATTTTCATCTTTCTTTTTCTTTGCGTTTCAAAAGATCAAGCACCCTTTGGACGTGTGCAAAGCCATGTCATCCGAGGAAACGAATACTGAAAACCTCCTTCAAGATCCATCAGCACCGATGATGATGATTGATACCAATGAGCAAGGATTTGACAGCGTGATGATAAGCGAGCAGCCATGTCCCACTACTACTCCTGTGCGAAAGAAACCTGGTCGTAAGCCTAATCCAACATCACCAGCTATTCGCAAAGCGCAAAATCGTGCAGCCCAAAGAGCGTTTCGTGAGCGTAAAGAACGATATCTTCGGGATTTGGAAGCATCCGTCAAACAAATGCGTGAAGACCGAGATCGGCTGCAAGCTGAAAACGAGCAATTCAAGAGTGACCTTGACATTTTGAATTCCGAGAATTGGTATCTCAAGGGGATTGTATTGACGCTGCAGCTTGTATGTTTTCGACATCATTTGGTACTTCCTCAACATAGTCCATACATGAGCAAAGAAGCGTTGACATTACTCAGCAAATCGATTCCTGAACCTGTGAATGCATACATCCATGCCAATGCCAATAATAAGCCGCCATTGACAGTGACAAAAGAAGGCAATGCACAAGGGAAGATGACAACGAATCATCATCGTAAGAGAAAGCAACGACAACAATACGTGACGACCACATCGATATGCATAACCAAGGATGGCGTGCAATCAGTGCCACATGCGGGGAGTGATTTTTCATTTCCCATGGACGAAACAGAGATTGATCTTTCATCCACCCAGTTGTCTGCATCACCAACACCTCCTTCAGCAGCAGCTCCTCATCCTCCTTCTTCCGATCTCCCCGATTGTGTCGCTACCAATGTCGCCGCCATTCAAACATTACGCCTTCGTTTACGACTCCAATCAGCTTGTGCGCAAATGGATTCAACCCCTTTCACTATTCAACCCACCACTTTGCAGGTACAGCCTTTTGATAGCACTATCTTATATAACACACAATGACTGATCCCATTCTATAGTTGACTATTCCACATGATCCTCGTATTGATCTCGTTCCCACACCACATATGCGTGATCGTATGATCTTGTTTCGAGGCTTGTTCGATCTTGATGAATGTTTTCGATGCATTATTGCTGACTCAACATTCCATGGCGGAGACCCTGCTGATCCATCCAACTGGCAGTTGCCATGCGAATTCTTTCAAAAGTTTTGGTTCCTGACAACGGATTACACGCTGCATCGCATCACCAACAAATGGCGTAAGATTCAAGGCTTACAACTACTCCCATCTCCATCATCACCTTCAACTTTATCAAAGAGTCAGCATGAACAAAGCAGCTATGCATCGTCGCGTTTTTCGGATGACACCATCACATTTACCAATCAACAACAACAACATGCACCATCCAATGATGATGATAATGCCTTGTTCAGTGCATCACCTATCCAGCTCACAGCTGGCAATATACCCGCTCATCGTTCTCCGGCACATCAAAACAGCACAGCGTATACCATGGATTTGTCTCTTGATAACTGGGACTCGATGTTTTCTCCAACACTCCAAAATCAATACAATGGTAAGGGGATTTTCACATGATTGCATAGCTTATGTTTGTTGACAAAGCATACTAGATATCATGTTGAGTGATCGCACTGTTGGTGCAGCAGCAACAGAGTCAGTTTAATATTGTGGATTTCGATATCGGTTATCAACAGTAAACTTGATTATCATGTGATGAGATCAACCCTGTTTTGTCAGACTTGAGCACCCCAACGTTGATATGGATCATCAATTTCATGGCATGTGCATTGCCCCCATCCGAGCTGGACTCTCAAATACCTTGCATAATTACTTGTCATTCGTATATTATACCTACCCTTCTTCATGTAAATAAAACCTTTCCTTTCTTATTGCTATCAATCGGCTGGCTGGTAATGTTCTACAACTAAGATCAGGCCATTGGAAACACTCTTTGTATGATGTCAAGAATTATATTACAAAAAAGTTCTTAAAATAGGATCTAGTTACTAATGTATGTGGGGTATCTATCATCACCGGCTGCAAAAAGCAACCTTGTATGCCTTAAGATAGTCATGCACAGGTCCTTTTCCATTACCCCTGCTCCATCCCAAGTTAAATGCATCATGGATCATCCGTAAGAGCAGCTCTTCTCGTGTAGCTTTGCTTTTGGTAAACCGATGATAATCATTGATGGCGTCATGAATGGCTGCTTGAAGTGATGGTACATCAAATGGCTCAAAGAGATAAGCGTTGTATTGTTGCTTTGGGCTTTCAGCCATCAGCTCTCCATTGTTGCCATCCGGAACAGCTCGTACAGGTTGTCTTGCGTGTGAGGGTCGATCAACAAGGAATTCCTTAAGTCCACCAGCTCCTGTAGAAATGACAGGTGCACCAAAGAGCAAACCTTCTGCAGCCACGAGACCAAAGCTCTCAGTAAGACTTGGCACAAATACAAAATCACTGGCAGCACGGCATAGTACAAGCCATTGGTGCTGTTCTTCTTCGGTCGACATGACGGTAACATGATTTGGATAACGTTGCTCAAGGTCTTCCACCCAACGCAAAGGATAATTGTTAGGTTGCCCAATGATCAGTAATTTGGCGTCGCGTTCGGTAAATAGGCGTGCTGCATCATCAAACATTTCAAATCCCTTGTTGTATTGGAATCGACCCACGTATAGAATCACTGGCCTTGTCAAGTCCCGCTCTGAAAGGATACCTTGATCCACAAGATACCTCTTGGCATGATATTTGGCATTGGATACATAGTCATTTGGATCGGGGGATAGTTGCCATGTCATGGTTTGATTATCATGTTGCCGGTATAGTAATGCTTGGGCATATTGCGGATAAGATGCTCCATGGTCGACAAGCTGATCATTCGTAAATGGATCCAATGCACCATAATCAACTCCATTCGTGATGCCAAAGAATCGTCCTTGCTGCGCTTTGCGTAAAATGTTCTCCATAACGAGCTCCTTGAGATAAAAGTCATCTCGTCCTTCCACCATATCAATCGTCATTTGATGGCTCACGTACGTCACCACATCAGCATAATCAATTCCAAGACTCGACATAAACATACGTCCTCCTCGTGTATATTGTATCAAGCGTTGATCGGGCGTATCAAGGAACTTTTCCACGTTCTTCGCGCGAATGGTGTATTGTAGTTCATCGAGATAATCGTGCAAGGTGTACATGATAGCAGGTCGAGTGGGGGTGTCATTGTTATCCCAAAGGTGTTTCATTGTATATGCGTTGGTAGCACCATGAAGATGTACTACGTCGACAGCCGAACTCGTTGACTTTGCTTGAAATGAAATAAATTCAGCTACAGCCTTGTTGAAGTATTGATCCTTCCACTCTTGTGGTAAACCATCAGGCGTTGAATAGATCTCCACTGTATTATCAGCTCGAAATGCCAAGTCAAAAGGACGGATGTTGCCCGGACCAATAAGATACACCGGAAACGCTTCCGTAGGTTGTACAAAGGGTGATGGTATCGAGGATGTGTCGCTTGTGCTGCTGTTGCTGGTAACCATTCTTAAGCTGGATGCATTTTCAGATAGTGTCGGTGAAAGACCATGCGTCATCCTCCATACTGTAAATTCCACAGGTACTTGATTGCTTCCTTGATTCACGTTGATCACGAGATCCGCCACCTTTTCGGTGTCATATTCATTGTCAAGAAAAGAATAAAATGGCATGACAATCGATACATCCACCTCGCCCGTTCTTTTGAGTGCTGTTGCCATGGCAGTAACCACCATCCCCATTCCTCCCATCGATGCTGCTCCAAACTCTTTGGTCACGTGATAAACCGATAACCGCTTGCCATCCACATCCTTTGTAATGACTTGAGATGCATTGTCGAGTCCCACGTATCGAAGAGCTGGATATTCTCGAATATCTATAGAGAAAAAGCACGTGAATATATAGATAGATTGGATATAGGATAAGAGCCTTACCAATGCGAATGGATCCCAACTTGTTATAGATAACTGTGCCAACGACAAACGTTCCCACTAACTGCACAAAGCAAAGTATTGCAAACGCTGCCAAGAGGACATGCCACCATCGTCGTCGTCGATCATGTTTTGAATACTGCTTGTCATCTTGAAAAAGCGGCGATCGATGAGACGAAGCGATCCGAGATTGGCTTGCCGAAAACGATCCCGATGAAGTGCTACTGCCAATGGCACGACGCGTGCTGTAACCGCTACGTCCGATAGTGAAGCTGCTGCCATCGGCAAAATCCTCGGGTGGTGCGACCACCATTGTATGTGTGAGTGAGTGTGAGTGCGTGTATAAAGAGAACGCGGGGATTTGCTAGAAGAAGTACCGGAAAGAAAGAAGCTATAGCATATTTACCTACACGCTACAAATAGTATTGACCATTGGACAAACATCACATAAAGCCACCTATTCACAATAACTTGAAATGTTGGTCCCAGAGTCACTTCCTGTTTCAAGTCATGCACGCTTTGATCTATTGTTGTCGGTATCCATGCCGATGAAGCATGTTACAGCACCACGCTCGTATCACGGACATGCTAGCACATGTAGTTCAATGTTGTTATCATTACGCTAGATCCATCCTACTATCATTATCATTATTGTCATTGTGACATTACATGCTCTTATAATGGGACATGCCTTGATTCATTTTCAAAGTCTGTATCATCAGCAGTGATACGGTTGTTAGAAAAGTGTACTACTTGGTGTCGTGCAGATAGCAAGAGCCTGTTTACACTGTAGGGCTCCCCCTTAGGTTTATAGTAGCTATATAATAATAGTTTTGGAATCCGAAATCCAGAAGAGGAATGCCCCAACCAATGGCATGTTGGCTTAACGACCACTCTAGGAATTCAAAGCATCAACAAGGGTATGTCTCTCCGCAGCGTGAGCGACGATAAAAACGCTGTATTTCGGACAATGTCATTGTTACTCGATCATCCCTCTCCAGTGGCTTGGTGTCTTGGCGTTATTGGTAAGAAATGGGTTAACATTGTATACGTTTTTATTATGTATCAACGTCAAATAGGAGCTGGTGAAAGATCCAACAGCAAGTAAGGTGGTGAATAACCCGATCATAGAATGAAAAGTCAGGGTAATGAATGTGCATTGTCAAGACAAAGGGACGATACTTGACTCCTTTTACGCATTCTTGTTGTATCAATTATTATCTCATATACCTATATAGTACATGCCCATGTTTGATGATGATGATGATGGTTGATTCAAGTTGTTGATGACGACATGGTGTTTGATAAAGTAGCAACAACGCCATCTCGATCACGCAGCGGCGTAGTTCCGTGTATATAGAAAACTTATAATAGATAAAGGCGATTATAGAAAGAGGATATCACATTTATAGTCATCCGCATCTACAAAAGATTAAGGTGGGGTTACACCATGGTCGAGCGATCTTGTTTTTGAGAGATTCAATCATGCCTGCAAAATTCAGCTTCAAATCCCGAGGTGTGGGAGGACCTTCATGGTTACGGGATTTCGTGAGAGGTGACTCTACTTTAAGGAACCTGCCTTTTCCCTCTCCTCCTCACTACTTTTTCTTTCTTTGTTGCATTATCTTGCCTATCCACCAATATTCCTATCGCATACGCCGCCATGTCCAAGGTTATGGACGACATTGAGCGCACTCCTGACTACGTTCAATTCATCAACAATCTCAAGGAGTTCCATGCCAGCAAAGGGTAAATGGCCCTGTTCCTTTTATTGCCATTGAGCACACTCTCTCTAACAGATTCTGCTGTCACTAGCACTACTCTTCAAGCTGAACCTATTCTTGGTGGCAAGAAGCTCGATCTCTATAAGATTTTCCAAGCTGTGATCGACGCAGGTGGATTCGATCAGGTAAAGCCAAACGGGAAGGTGTACCTCATTGGGATCTTGTTTCCTGATTCGCTTGTAACTAGGTTACCAAGAGCCGTTGCTGGAAACATGTGGGAGATGCATTCAACTTTCCAAGTACATGCACGAATAGCGCGTATATTCTAAAAGGAGTCTATATCCGAAATTTGGTAAGATGAACAAAGCGTCATAGGGAAACAGTGGGAAACTGACTAACCCATTGCATAGTTGGGTTGGGAAGAAGAGATGGTTTGGGGCAAACATTGGGATCCACCAGAGGAACTTCGTGGTCCGGTAAGTGTGAGAGTATTATAAAAGTGTGATGTGATTATTGTATAGTAATCATCTTGTATATTGGTAGAATGCCCATAAAGCATCGACCCTTGCCGGCAAGTCATTCAAGAAAAAGCCCGCGGCTGGTACACGTTCCAAAAGCACAACAACGACAACAACAACAAAGGCACCGCATTATACTCCTATCCGGCCTGATCCGAATCCCCGTGAAACGTTCTCCATGGTGAGCGTTGGTCAATCGTTACCCACGTTACGTTCGAGCTTTTCATTCGAGGAGCTTGCTATCAGAAACGAACCCAGCCAGTGCACTATTGCCGAGACGCATCACCAAAGTCATCCATCCACACACATACACATTATGGAGGAAGATCGTATGGAATGTCTCAGAGGTAGGACGGTCCAAAGAGAGCGTGTCATTGGTGTTTTACACGATCTGATGATCTTTTTTCCCTTTTAGCAAACAAGCTGGATAGCAATATCAAGCAACGTGTATTGTTAGCGATACAATCTTCCAACCCGATGGATGTGGATTGGGCCCTCAACTGTATTGTCACCATTTCATTCGAATGCCCAGAGCAACTACAGCTTGACAACACGCCGCTTTTACTTGACTTGCTATTGAAACGAGGCGATCCATTTCTTTTGGGCCAGCAGGACCGGCCTTCCATCATCAAAATCTTACACATCTTGCGCAATTTTTCCTTCCTTGAAGTCAACGCACGCATCCTTGCTTCTGATACCAGGTTACGTTCAATGATACAAAGAAGTCTGGCACTTGGTGCGTCCAACGACATTGACCTTGGACGACATTGTATCGACGTACTCGAGAATATTGCTTCCTTTATTGAACTCTCCGGACCCTTTGACGAGCTCATCCCATGTCTTGCCAACCTGCTCAATTCTCAAGAACGCCCGCTCTTGATAGGCGCGTTACATGTGTTGACGAGTTTAGCCATGGTGGAGAGCAACCAAGTCTATCTACTATCAGGAGCCATGACTACAGTTGCACGTGCCACCCAATTACTCGTGATCAATGATGAAGAATTGGTTGGCTATGTCATTGAGTATCTCTATCAATACAGTCGAATATCGGCCGACTTCAAACGACAATTGATGACCATCCATTCTGGCGCTGATATTGGTATCCTCGTATCATTGTTGAGTGTCAAAAGCAAGTTCTTTATACCCAAGGTTATTCGTGATCGTGAAGATGGTTCGTCCCAGTCAAGTGCATCTCCTCGAAGTGCGTCAGGATCTCCTTTGGGTGTTGCTGAACCACATGGTGTGGTGCCTTGTATGCCGAATCTTAGCGCTTATCAAGAACTTGATGAGCCATATCGTTGTCTTGGCTGGTATGTAACACACACACAGCGATGTTTTCATTAACTCATTTATTCTTTTTCATATATATATAAGGTTGAAGGACAAGTTTGAAGTATCGGCACAAAGTAGCGTGTTGTCTTTGGATGACATGTATCTCTTGTATGAAATGAGATTTGGCCAGGAAGGAGCATTGAAGATGAAGGACTTTTACACAGTATTGAAGATTGCATTTCCCGAGGCTTCGGCGGCAGACAATTCTCAAAGCGGAATGATCCTCGAAGGAACCCTGGTACGAGGTATCCAAATCAAAATGACGATTCTTCAAGATGGTTAGTATTTTATGGGATGGCAATGATGATTATGTATGCTGATATGGTTTTTTGGGGCTGTAGGTGCTGAGCTCATGTGTCAATGGACGAATTGTTCACAATCGTTTGAGGATGAGTTACACCTTCAGAGGCACGTTATACAAGAGCATGTCGGTGCACATGAAGCTGATATCAATGGATTCGAGTGTATGTGGACCAATTGTGCCAATACCATGCACGAGTTTAAGGACAAGGATGAAATGGCTATGCATCTTGGAACACACTTTGACGATGGACAACAAATCGCCGTACCTGCTTCGAATACCATGAGCAATGGTAATGATGGTGCTACCATGATTGATTATTCTGAACCACAAGGCATTGCATTCGTGGCGGCCCACTTGCTTCGACAACTCTCCAAAGATCCACAGAGCCATCATTACTTCATGCCATACGAAACAGAGCTTTTGGCTATCGCAAGGAGGCAACCCAAAATGGCTCCCCATATTCAATCCATGTTCTCCCATTTCTCTATTGCATCATCCTCTTCATGACTTGATTTATGCCTTTGATATTTCTTTATCTATGTTGTTTCATTGTATACTTCTTTTTACCATTACATATGTCTTTTTTTCCCATGCATATATGCTGATGATTCAATGCACCACCTATGGTATCTTTTGCGCGGTATATGTAGAAAATAGGAGAAGGCTATCGTTTTTTAAGCATGCACCATGGTGCTGGGGCCTGTGGCAGGTCTAGAAGTGTAACATCGTAATATATGATTTCAAGTTCAGTCCTCGGTTGTGTGCAACCACTCTTTTTTTTGCTTCATGAGCTCTGGGTTAAGGAGAATCTCGGTCCATTTCAAAATCACATGCATGTTAGAGACAATGTTTACGTCTTTGTTAATGTACTACACCTTCTCGTAATTCGATGGTCGAGTATCAGTACTTCCATGGGTGGTAGAATTGATCCTGAATTCCTGACAATTTGACAGCCGCAGACAATGTGCTACGATAATTACTTGATCGAAACACAAGGAGCATCATCACAAATAACACGTTTTACACAAAATAGAGAAAGAAAAAGCCAAGATTTAGGAATGATAGCATAGCATAGTAGATAGGACTATAAAGAGAAGCTCAAAGGCTCGAATGCATAGCTACTTGATGGGAGACCGCCCATGCTGGATCAAATTATCTGCTCTAATAAATTAAATTTGATCAGGCGCAATAATCAAATAGTTTGATTGTTATAAGGAAGTGTTTCATCCACCTGTGTAATGGGACGATAAGCTGTGCAATGGGCGATGCAAGTTCACCATCATCTTAAAGTAAAGACACGTGTCATGACAAGATGTTGAGCAACGACCCACAATCCATCATCATTTTCTTGTACAATGAACAAAGTCTACTTTCGAAAGACAATCTGCATAAACAAAAGATCTTCCAAATGAATGAATGGTTTTGAATTTGCATGCATAAACACATTGAATATAGCATGTCATTCTTGCATTGGGGGATAAGATCCAGCTGATGTACGGATGCTTTGTGATACATGGCCTTTTCATCCCGAGCCGACATGTACTCTACACAGTATCATGGGCACACAGATGGTAATAAAGCTGCACTAGCTCGTTTTCTCTTTTTAACACGCTTACTTCCCTTTTAAGCTTTACTGTTTTTGCTCGTTCTCTCTCTCTTTCTCTCTTTTTTTCTCTCTTTCTCTCTTTTATTCAACGTTGTGTATTTCATAACTATATTCTATCGACGGCGTCAATATGCCCAGGAACCTTGTCATAAACACCCAGGTCGACCGCAACAATCCTCGTGTCTCCGATTGGCAGCCATCTCCCACAGTGAGCACAGCTTTACAATCAGAACGCAATGCTTCAGGTCATCTCTTTAAACAGCAAAACAACAGCATGTTGATTGAGGAAGTCGAGGAGGAAGAGGAAGAAGATTCGGACGATATCATTGAGGAGGAGGAAGAGGACGACGATGAAGACGACCTTGATGAAGCCGATGACTCGGAATACACTTCTTCGCCTAGTATTCCAGACGAGAATATCAACTTTGATATGGTTTACGCGTTGCATACGTTTGTGGCTACGGTGGAAGGGCAGGCTACGGTGTACAAAGGCGATGCATTGACGCTGTTGGATGATTCTAATTCGTATTGGTGGCTCGTCAGTGTCATCAAGACGTCCGAAGTGGGTTACATTCCAGCAGAGAACATCGAGGTAGAGATAAAAAGGGAAATGGTAAAGGAATTGAATGGGATATTGACAACAAGAGTAGACGCCATTTGAACGTTTGGCACGTCTCAACAAGCATCGGAACACGGATGTAAGTTTCATGATAATGATATTGATGGTATATATATTAACATGCATGATGCATGATGCAGCTGACATCCTTGGATCAAGCAACACATTATATTCAAAAGGAGGAGAAAAAGAAGGCGACCAAGAAGCGTAGAGTGACCATGTGCAAAGATCTCAGTGTGCAAGCACAAATCATTTTGATTGGTGATGATGAGGAGCAAGAGGTTGGTGAAGCGTACGAAGAATGGCAAGAGGATATGCAGGATGATTGTTCAGAAGCCAGTGATATTGAAGAGAGCGACAATGAAACCGATCAACCCCAAGAAATCATTGAATCATCTTCTCCTGTTAAACAATCACCAACACCCTCACCTGTTTCGCAACCACAACAGCCTGAGAAACCCATACAACCACAACCATCCCAATCATTACAACCATCACCACAGCAACAACAACAACAGCAACCTATTGTTCAACCACAACCATCCGTTAGTTACAATGGCACGCCATCTTCTCCACGCATAGATGACAAACGATCCAGCACATTTTGGAATATATTCTCGCGTGGCAAAAAGGAACCAACAAAGTCAATTCAACCCACTTCTTCTAATGAGGATGCGGATGGTCGATCAATCTCCTCTGTCAGCTCTTCTATTCTTATGGATGATAAGACACCTCGGGCTGCAAATGGTCAAGCTCAACTCAAGGTGTTGCGTGTGTTTGCTGGAAACATCAATGTTGGTGCAATGTATCATTCGATGCTTGTGGATGATAATACCAGTGCCGAGCAATTGCTTATCCAAGCTATGGAGCGCTTTCATATCGCCCAAATCGAGAACAAGACTGCTGGACGTACCTCGCGTGCAATCACTCCAACGAATGGTAGCGGGGTCGAGTATTATCTGACAGTGAAATCCATGAATGGAGGTACGTACTATATAAACCCACTTGATGCAAAGCTCAAGGCTAATTTAATACCCATTTGCTTGATAGATGAAATCATTATGGCACCACAAGACAAGCCATTGGCGATTTTCCAAACGCTCACTACTCATTTGACTACACCAATGCCATCATTGACGCATGTCAAACAACTTTCACAGCATGATACACGACCTACATCACAACAGCAACAACAACAGCAGCAGCAACAGCAATCATCACGTCATGGCAAAGACCCAGCTGTCGGATTTTATTTGCATAAACGAATCAGGCGGATCAATGAGAGAGAGGGCCAAGTTTATATCAAAGTTTCCCATTATACGAATACCACCAACACCAAAGACAACAATCTATCATCCACCTTCTCCAAAAACTTGCGGAAAAAGAAAAAGGATACACCACATGAACGAATCGACAAACTGATTGCAGTCTCTGCAAGCGCCTCTATTGCCGAATTGACAACAATTGCACTTGACAAATTTCACATGAATCATCACAACGAGCATGATCGGTATAGAATGACCGTATCCACGCAACCAGGTAATGCGTTTCCTATGCAACAGAAATCAACGTATACTCACCCACGATAATTAGATAAGCTGCTTAATCCATCCAATCGCTTGATCGAGATCCTACACGACGATACACCGAGAGAGGCTGGAGAAAAAGTATTCATTTTACGAAAGACGGGCACACAACCTACATCACGCTCTGCTGCATCACTCCCACCACGATCAAGTACCAGCAAAGTGTCACCAGAAAAGATCTCTCGAATGAAACGTCCACCGTTATCGATTCCTCAGCTTGATACCAAGACAAAAGACATTGTACGGCGCGTTGATACAGTATTAAAGACATGCTCAAAGGATAAGAAATTGGGGATCACCAACACCAGTGGTATAGCCGTATCAAGGAATTTGGATGCAGGCGTTGATGTGATTCTTTTACACGGCACACTACGAACACGGCCTCTTCCAAAGAATCAAATCGAATATGCATTGATGACCAACAACAGCATTGTGGTAGCGAGAAAAGTGATTCATCAGCCATCCAAGCAGTTGTTCAGCGCCAATTTGAAAAATGTGACCGAGCAGGATCTCGACATTCTTGTACGATATGCAACAGCTCATTTGGACGTGCATGATCAAAAATCGGGTCGTAAACCAGTTTCCTCTGTGAATGGATCTCTTTCTTTGGATATATTGGATTCATCGGCGGATCAGGTATCGAGCCTTGGTGACTTGGAAAAGGTAAAGAGGATAGAGGGATGTGTTATTGGGTATAGCTAACGGTGATCATTGTGTATAGGAGTTTCAACGAATCATTGCGTCTCACACCTTTTAGTACACCACATAACAGCAATCATCATTCATAATCAGACATTTGTAAAAAGAAACACATTGATGTATTATTTATACCTTTTTCAAGACATTGGGTCATCGACCTGCTATATATTTATACTTCTTACAATAAACATCCAAGAGATCCATACACATAAGGTACATCCCTCAGGTACATGATATAGATGCTAAGTCCGCACAATGTTCCCCGACAAGCAATCACCATGGATACGGAGATGTTTGGCGTAAAGGAGAAATGCTTAGATATGAGAGTGAGGGATGTTTAAAAGAACAAAGAAAGGAAAAAGCATTACTGATCCTACTACGGGGATGATGATAGAAAAAGGAGCAAGAATCCATGGTGGGGACTGGTTCCTGTAATATAAGCAGATTTCTCACGATGACAATTTATGTAAGCGACTATCCATGGTTGTCAAGCAAGCTCAGCTATATATATTATCCCGCCCTATCCTTGATTGACGCTAGCACTTTCCACACACACACACTCACAACACACGCAACCCATATGGCTGACGAAGTACCGAAAGCATTTATAGTTCCCAACTCCCAAAAGCCGGGTCAAAGTGGTAAGGATCATATGAAATTTCCTGTGTAATCCTATCAACTCTAATTTGCATGAAAGCTGTCTATCGAGGCAACCAAGAGCTTATTCCTTCTTTCTCGCCCAAAGTCAAGAATCTTTATGACATCTTTCGTGCAGGTAAATGAAAATGGTCTTTGTTGTTGATACACCTATAATGACGTCTTCTCTTGTTAGGATACGACAAGTCGTCTGATCAGCCATGTCTTGGTCATCGCCCGATTGTGAATGGCGCACTTGCTGATTACTATGAATGGGAGACATACTCGCAAGTCGATAAACGCATCCAGAACTTTGGCAGTGGTCTACAATCTTTTGTTCGTGAAGAACTGGGAATCAAGCAACCTGGTCCTATTCCTCTTGGCGTGTGGTCTGTAAATCGACCCGAGTGGCATATTGCGGATTGGGCATGTTCGATCTCTGGCTTCTTTGTGGTTGCACTTTACGATACCTTGGGCCCTGATGTTGTCGAGTACATTATCGACCATGCTGAAATTGAGATCGTGTTGTGTACCAAAAATCACGTGTTGGATTTGCTCAAGCAACGTTCCAAATTGCCCAATCTCAAGGGTGTTATTTCGATTGACCCCTTGGATGCCCCTGAAGATGAAGCCTTGCGTGCCTGGTCAGCTGAAAAGAACCTGGTCCTTGTCAACTATGCACAAATCGAATTACGTGGGCAAGAAAAGCCAATGGCACCAACACCAGCTTCCCCTAATGATCTTGCTTGTATCATGTACACGAGCGGCACCACAGGCAAACCCAAAGGTGTCATGTTGACACATGCCAACTTTGTCGCTGCCGTCACCGGTATCCTCACTAGAACCACAAGTGATAACACTGACACTGGTATCTCGTATCTTCCTTTGGGTAAGTGATGATGCATCTATTCTTGTATTTGATTGTTTTTGAAATAGCATTTTAATATACGTTTATTAGCACACATTTATGGAAGATTGATTGATTGTTCATGCATGGCAGTGGGTGCACGTATTGGATTTTTCAGTGGTTCTATTGACACGCTCTTGGAGGATATGCAAATTCTCAAGCCAACCATCTTCAGTGCTGTACCACGCCTGTTGAACAGGATCTATGGCAAGATTATGCAAGCTACAGTACAAGCACCAGGCTTCAAGGGTGTACTTTTCAGTAAGGCTGTGGAGATGAAAATGGAGCATCTTTTGCAAGAAGGTGTATTCGAGCATCCTGTACTTGATCGGCTCTTATTCAACAAGGTGCGCCAGGTCCTTGGAGGCAATGTGCGCTTTATCACCAGTGGATCAGCACCCCTTGGAAAAGATGTTTTGCAATTTTTACGTGTGGTGTTATGCTGTGACATTCGAGAAGGATTTGGTGCAACCGAAACTTGCAGTTCGGCAAGTGTGCAAGTGAAGGGAGATAAACGGGCAGGCAACATTGGTATCCCTATGGATTGTAACGAGTTCAAGCTGGTGGATGTTCCTGAAATGGATTACAAGGCGACTGACAAGCCTTATCCCCGAGGTGAACTATGTGTGCGTGGATACAATATCAGCCAAGGCTATTATAAAGATGAAGCCAAAACCAAGGAGGCATTTGATGAGGATGGTTTTTATCACACGGTATGTATTTCATTGTTGTTGATAGCTTCATCATTATGCTGACATGTTACATATGCAGGGCGATATTGCAATGGTTGATGAAACAGGTTCTTTCGTCATTGTCGATCGCAAAAAGAATATCTTCAAGCTTGCACAAGGAGAATACGTGGCACCCGAAAAGATTGAAAACATTTACTCCAAGGATACGTTGGTGGCTCAAATCTTTGTCCATGGTGACTCGCTACAAAACTCGCTTGTGGGCATTATAGTACCTGATCCAGATGAGCTTGCTCAACTTGTCAAGGTGGTACTTCCCGATTTGGCTGGCGTGAGCTATCAGGAATTATGTCGCAATCCACGCGTGAACGAAGCTGTTTTAAAGCGTATGACGGGTGTGGGCAAGGCAGCAGAACTTCGTGGATTTGAATTTGTCAAAGCCATCTATCTCGAGTCTCAACCATTTACTATGGAGAGCAACTTGCTAACACCTACTTTGAAATTGAAACGTGCCGAAGCTAGAAAATTCTACGATGCACAAATCAGTGAGCTATACCAGCATCTCACCAACGCAACACCCGTCGCACGATTGTAGAATTTTCTTTGCATCATCATCCGCAAGTAGTAGACATCATCTCACGCCGTAAATAAATGACAATCTTACAATATCTAAATCACAAAAAGGGAACGTGTGTTACGACGTTCTTGATAAGATCTAATCACAAAGGAAAGAAGGGAGGTGAGTTACGCTATCGAATACAGCCTTTCTTTGTTCAAGACACAATGAATCGATCAGACTCTTTATCTTCCTCCCTTTTCCTTTTAGCACAATCAAATGGATGTAACCTGCATCTTGCCATACCATCAATTCTTCTATAATACCATGCAATACGTGCCCACACACAAAAGGTCCAACTTAGGCAGAAGAAGATCTCTCACATCATAGAAACTGAGAAGTGGTTGTCGTCGTGTTCGCTAAAGTAAACCTTTAATCCGATATCATTCATAAGAGGTGTATTGAGAGGTACAGCGAATTGCTCGAATGGGAGGAGATACAATGGACTTGATAAGTATCTATCCTTTGGGCGTGGATTGTGCATAGGTGAATGGATGGATGTGAGGAGCGTATAATAGTATGCATGGCGTGTCAAAACATAGCGTTGGGCGATGGTGGTTGTACATGGTTGCCAGGTTGCACGAAGGATACTGATAATAGCTGCATGTAGAGTACGATACTTGGACGCACCAATCGTTCAAGATGATAGCATCTAGCATAATGATCAAGTTGACAATGAAAACATAAGAACAAATGCTCTTTTCCCACGAGTGGTATGTATCCAAATCCTTCCATCACATCTTCCCATATGCATACCATATCCATATCCATATCAAGTTGAGTGTATTAAAAAAATTGCTACACGTAAATGGAGCTGCATGTGTATACTAGTGAGCTGCTTCTGTTCATGTAAAAAAGGCTGCAAAGCTGGTTGCTGCAAGTAACTTGAGATAAGGGAGTGGAAGACCTTGTTAAAAGCAACGGCTGCCGCGTTCGGTGAAGAGTGTGCAAGAGCGTGTGTCGTAGTAGAGTGACAAGGTCGCTGCAATTAACTCAAGACAATGGAGTAAAGGCATCGCTAATAGCAACTGCTGGAATGAATGCTGTTACGTTTGATTGTGGTCGACGAGTGTGCAAGAGCGTGTGTTGTAGTAGAGTGACAAAAAGGCTGTGTACACGCCATGCACTTGCCATTCAGTCAAAGACAAGCGGATCAAGATAGTTGTAGGATTGGCATGATGGGTTGAAGAAGGTCAATCGTTCGCAGGTGGTAGTTGTATACTTTAATGGACCAACAGTTGAGAATGGGAGGAAGAGCAAGATGCGGGAGGAGGAAGAGGTGGAAATTAAATAGGCGGGACACCTCTTGTATAAATGCATGAACACTGTACATCAAACCTTGAATTGAGATTCCCCCCCTCTCGAACCTGAAGTTTTCACACAAGGTGCTCTGGGACATGCTTATCAACATTATTCATTTAAAAACCACAGGCTTCATTGTGAAGATTTAAAATGCGGGGCGGCCCTAATGTAGGAGGGGCGATGAACTGCGGGAGCGTAAGAGTGGACGGCCCACCGCCCCGAAGTTGCCTGCTTCCAACTTGAAAATTGGTCAGAAGGGTGCTCCGAGCATGTTGATCAACTTCTTTCTAATAAAAACCTCACGCCTCATTTGAAAATTTGGAATGGGAGCGCCCAAAAGTCTGAAAGACGGAGACATTCGCAGGGTCTGCGATTCATTAATTTTCATGTTTGCTCTTCCAGCGTAGCTCAGTCAAATCGGCTCGGATCAAGAAACTTGGATGATGGAAATGCTCGGCTGGAGCAGGAGAATCGTTCACATGCAGTGGATTTTGGGCAACAATGGTGAATGGGAGGAATGGGCTATTAGCTCGCTATATATGGACTATTGTGGATAGCCATAAAGTATAATCCATCAATCCTTCCAGTCATGCAAAGTAGCTGTGCTACACGAACACGACCCTCTGCATCTTTTGCTCTGCCAGGGTCCACCTACTTGACAATGAACAAAGACCACTCTTCTTATAGCATCACGCTTACAAACATAAAGGTGCC